GGGCGAGCCCCCGCGCCCTATAGCATAAACCCCCTCCCCCCCCAAAAAAAAAAACACAATATTGTCAAAATATCTGTTTTAATTTAAATTGCAGCCCATTCTCAGAGTAATGCCTTAGAATCCTGTTAGTTATATTACATAGATAAGAAAATGGATATCTGAGGAAAAAATTACTACTAAAGGAGAACACAGGTAGAAACCGTACATCTGGAATATGAACTTAAAGATGTTGAATCTCTACTTTTCTCCTCTGTGCGTGTGTATGTGTATGTGTGCGTGTGTGTATAAATATATATATTGATATACTTACCCAAATGAATAAACTAATGCATGATAAAAACTATATATTTATAGCTTGCAAGATAAAAATTCTATACACATGATAAAAAAAATATATATATATATAACTTTAAATTCAGGTATAATTCAGATAAATATAACAATAATTAACATACAGTTAGTTACATACTAATAGAGAGCCATATAAACTATTCTGGAAACCCCAAAACCAAAATGTCTAATTGTATGCGAGGTGGTAGAAAAGGCATAATATTTTAAAAATTAAACAACAAATGTATATTACTAAGTCTCTTCTACTCACAATAAATGTATCTTCCACTTTGGCAATTCCTTTTCCAAATATTGTTCCTAGTTGATCTCCAACTCCAGCCAACAGAAAACCAAAGAGGGGAATTCCCAATAAGGCATAGATGATACAGAATATTTTTCCACCTTCTGTGCGAGGTGAGATATTTCCAAATCCTAAAAACACAAAGAGAGAAAGAAAAATAATTCAGTTATTTGTAAGTAATACTTTAAAAATATGAGCTCAAGATCGTTTCAGAAATATCAATCATTGATTGAAGAATTCCTCTTTGTATTGCATAACTTTTTAATATATTGAATATTAAATACTGTTAAAATCAAACATTTCAATAATATATATGCAAAGTATAGCTAATGTTATAATTAAACTTTGATAAGATGATGAAAACAGAGGTGGTAATACATGCAATTAAGGCCAATGTTTTATTATGTTACTTCTTTTTATTACTGTCATCCTGTTGACTATCAATCTTTCACTGTCACTTAGAATACATTGAGAAGACTATACAACCTTAATCTGAACTTTCAAGTATACTTAAATTATTTAGAAATTAAAATTTAGTAACAACTGCGAAATCTTTTTATTCAAGTTTATAGCAGAAAGCAAGGCAAAAACTTAAAATTATTAAACTTTTTCAAAGTTCTAAAGACTAAAAAGTCAAGTTTTGTGCAAAGATATCTACTTATTATGATTTGAGAGCTCAACTTCATTTACTTTTCAAGCCATCTGCTCTAAAGATGGAAGTCCAGCACCTTAACCACCTTAACCACTAACCTGCTGGTCCCCATTTACTTTTTAATAACAGGAGCACTGTTGGCATACACATTTAGGGTAAAGAATGTATGATTCCTAGGAAGACATAAAGCGTTGGTTTTGATAGGTGCTCCTGTCACTACCCTTCATATTAAAGTAATCTAGAACCTTAGTGTTAATTTTCTTATACTCAAAAATTGAGAATAAATATTTGGAGATTGGCTCTTCTAGTTTTATAACTATTGTAGTCAAAGATTATAGTCTGTATGATTTTTACTCTGGAATTTGTTGATCTCTTCTTTGTGGCTTTATTAAGGCCAGTTTTGTATTGGTTTCATTGATATGCAACAAGAAAATGGATTTTTGGGGGATACAAAAAGGATATGTGTGTATGTGTATGTGTGTGTGTGTGTGTGTGTGTGTGTATAATTTAATAATGATCCAGTATTAACCTATCCCACTACATGTTTCTATTTTTCTCTTCCTTCTACTCAATCAATTTAGTGTTCACTGCTAGTCAACTCATCTTCCAAAGAACCTTTTTAAATGTACTTAATTTTTTTAAAAAGTACTTAATTTTCAAGAACTTTTACTTTTTTACATCATCTTATGTTACAAAATAATTATATTCACTTATTTGTTTTCCAGGGTTGTATCCTATATTATTAACTCGATTCCTTAAAAGAAGTCCTGTATTTCCTTTATTTAGGTGAATTCCTGCAAGTGGTTGAGAATTCCTAATTATATTTTCATACCAATAAGCACAAGACAGTCTTCAGTTGGTCACTAGTTGTAGCTGAAATGTATTTTCCAGGCTCTGTGAGAACCATGGGTGATTCTGGTGGT